TACCTTTGTGGTCTGAAAAATTGGTTGGTAGAATTTCAATATTGTGGAATTTACTGAGGCTCTTTTTGTGAGCTAGTATGTGGTCTATTCTGGAGAATGTTCCATGTGCACTTGAGAAGAATGTATATCCTGTTGCTTTTGGATGTAAAGTTCTATAGATGTCTATTAGGTCCATCTGTTCTAGTGTGTTGTTCAGTGCCTGTGTGTCTTTACTTATTTTCTGCCCGGTGGATCTATCCTTTGGGGTGAGTGGTGTGTTGAAGTCTCCTACAATGAATGCATTGCAGTCTATTTCCCTCTTTAGTTCTGTTAGTATTTGCTTCACATATGCTGGTGCTCCTGTATTGGGTGCATATATATTTAGAATGGTTATATCCTCTTGTTGGACTAAGCCCTTTATCATTATGTAGTGGCCTTCTTTATCTCTTGTTACTTTCTTTGTTTTGAAGTCTATTTTGTCTGATATTAGTACTGCAACCCCTGCTTTCTTCTCACTGTTGTTTGCCTGAAATATGTTTTTCCATCCCTTGACTTTTAGTCTATGCTTATCTTTGGGTTTAAGGTGAGTTTCTTGTAAGCAGCATATAGATGGGTCTTGCTTTTTTATCCATTCTATTACTCTATGTCTTTTGATTGGTGCATTAAGTCCATTTACATTTAGGGTGACTATTGAAAGATATGTACTTATTGCCATTGCAGGCTTTAGATTCGTGGTTACCAAAGGTTCAAGGTTAGCTTCTTTAGTATCTTACTGCCTAACTTAGCTCGCTTATTGAGCTGTTATATACACTGTCTGGAGAGTCTTTTCTTCTCTCCCTTCTTATTCCTCCTCCTCCATTCTTCATATGTTGTGTGTTTTGTTCTGTGCTCTTTTTAGGGGTGCTCCCATCTAGAGCAGTCCCTGTAGGATGCCCTGTAGAGGTGGTTTGTGGGAAGCAAATTCCCTCAGCTTTTGCTTGTCTGGGAATTGTTTGATCCCACCATCATATTTAAATGATAGTCGTGCTGGATACAGTATCCTTGGTTCAAGGCCCTTCTGTTTCATTGCATTAAGTATATCATGCCATTCTCTTCTGGCCTGTAGGGTTTCTGTTGAGAAGTCTGATGTTAGCCTGATTGGTTTTCCTTTATAGGTGACCTTTTTCTCTCTAGCTGCCTTTAAAACTCTTTCCTTGTCCTTGATCCTTGCCATTTTAATTATTATGTGTCTTGGTGTTGTCCTCCTTGGATCCTTTCTGTTGGGGGTTCTGTATAATTCCATGGTCTGTTCGATTATTTCCTCCCCCAGTTTGGGGAAGTTTTCAGCAATTATTTCTTCAAAGACACTTTCTATCCCTTTTCCTCTTTCTTCCTCTTCTGGTATCCCTATAATACGAATGTTTTTCCTTTTGTATTGGTCACATATTTCTCTTAGTGTTGTTTCATTCCTGGAGATCCTTTTATCTCTCTCTATGTCAGCTTCTATACGTTCCTGTTCTCTGGCTTCTATTCCTTCAATGGCCTCTTGCATCTTATCCATTCTGCTTATAAATCCTTCCAGGGATTGTTTCACTTCTGTGATCTCTTTCCTGACATCTGTGATCTCCTTCCGGACTTCATCCCACTGCTCTTGCATTTTTCTCTGCATCTCATCCCACTGCTCTTGCATTTTTCTCTGCATCTCATCCCATTGCTCTTGCATTTTTTTCTGCATCTCTGTCAGCATGTTCATGATTTTTATTTTGAATTCTTTTTCAGGAGGACTAGTTAGGTCTGTCTCCTTCTCAGGTGTTGTCTCTGTGATCTTTGTCTGCCTGTAGTTTTGCCTTTTCATGGTGATAGAGATAGTTTGCAGAGCTGGTACAAGTGACCGCTGGAAGAGCTTCCCTTCTTGTTGGTTTGTAGCCTTTTCCTGGGAGAATAGCGACCTCTAGTGGCTTGTGCTGGGCAGCTGTGCGCAGACAGGGCTTCTGCTTCCTGCCCAGTTGCTTTGGGGTTTATCTCCGCTGTTGCTGTGGGCTTGGCCTGGCTGGGGCTGTTCCTCCAAAATGGTGGAGCCCCGTTGGAGGGGGAGCAGCCAGGAGACTATTTATCTCCGTAAGGGGCCTCTGTGCTCCCTGCTGCCCAGGGGGTTAGAGTGCCCAGAGATCCCCAGATTCCCTGCTTCTGGTCTAAGTGACCTGTCCTGCCCCTTTAAGATTTCCAAAAAGCACTCTCCAAACCAAAACAACAGCAGCAACAATGAGAGAGGGAACAGAAAGAAAGAGAAAAAAAAAAGGAAAAAAAAGGAAAAAACAAGCGATTTTTTTTTTTTTTTTTTGTCCTCAGGTGCCGGTCCCAGGCACCCGCTCACTGGTCCTGCTGCCCTGTCTCCCTAGCACCAGGGTCCCTGTCCTTTCAAGGCTTCCAAAAAGCACCCACCCACCGGTCCCGCAGGGAAGGAACGCTCAATATTCTTTGTCCTCAGGCACTGGTCCCACGCACCCGCTCACCAGTCCCGCCGCCCTGCCTCCCTAGCACCGGGGTCCCTGTCCCTTCAAGGCTTCCAAAAAGCACTTGGCAAAAAGAGAGAAAAAAAAGGGGAAAAACGCGCGATTTCTTCCGTCCTCAGGTGCTGGTCTCAGGCACCCACCCACCGGTCCCACAGGGAAAAATGCGGGATATTCTTTGTCCTCAGGTGCCGGTCCCAGGCACCCGCTCACCAGTCCCGCCGCCCTGCCTCCCTAGCACCGGGGTCCCTGTCCCTTCAAGGCTTCCAAAAAGCACTCGGCAAAAAGAGAGAAAAAAAAGGGGAAAAACGCGCGATTTCCTCCGTCCTCAGGTGCCGGTCTCAGGCACCCACCCACCGGTCCCACAGGGAAAAATGCGGGATATTCTTTGTCCTCAGGTGCCGGTCCCAGGCACCCGCTCACCAGTCCCGCCGCCCTGCCTCCCTAGCACCGGGGTCCCTGTCCCTTTAAGGCTTCCAAAAAGCGCTCGCCAAAAAGAGAAAAAAAAAGGGGAAAAACGCGCGATTTCCTCTGTCCTCAAGTGCCAGTCTCAGGCACCCGCCCACCGGTCCCGCAGGGAAAAACGCGGGATATTCTTTGTCCTCAGGCGCCGGTCCCAGGCACCCGCTCACCAGTCCCGCCACCCTGCCTCCCTAGCACTGGGGTCCCTGTCCCTTTAAGGCTTCCAAAAAGCGCTCGCCAAAAAGAGAAAAAAAAAGGGGAAAAACGCGCGATTTCCTCCTTCCTCAGGTGCCAGTCTCAGGCACCCGCCCGCCGGTCCCGCAGGGAGAAACGCGGGATATTCTTTGTCCTCAGGCGCCGGTCCCAGGCACCTGCTCTCCGGTCCCGCCACCCTGCCTCCCTAGCAACGGGGGCCCGTCCCTTTAAGTCTTCCAAAAAGCACTCGCCAAAAAAAAAACCGCTCCGGTTTCTTTCCACCCGCCGGGAGCCGGGGGGAGGGGCGCTCGTGTTCCGCCCGGCCGGGGCTTGTATCTTACCCCCTTCGCAAGGCACTGGGTTCTTGCAGGTGTGGATGTGGTCTGGATGTTGTCCTGTGTCCTGTGGTCTCTATTTTAGGAAGATTTTTCTTTGTTATATTTTCATAGCTCTATGTGTTTTTGGGAGGAGATTTCCACTGCTCTACTCACGCCGCCATCCTGGCTCCGCCCCACAAAGTCCATTTATCATTTTTTATATTAAAAGTTTAAATTATGATATCATTGCATATTGGAAGTACTTTCAGATGAACAGATGAGAACATTACCAACTTAAAATCCTTTCAGACTGATTAATATCTTCAGTTTTTTAGACTTCCCAATATTTTTTTATAAAATGACTTTATAAGATGTTTTTAGATAATCACATTTTAAAGCAAAACAACCCAATGTTTGTAATCAAAATTATTTATTGCATACTTTTTTATCCCTATAGAAATAAATTCAAGGATTCTTAAAAATTAATGAGTTTTTAAGACAAAACGGCATTTGAAAATTAAAGCCTTTTCCTCTCTTTCATAAAGGTGCTAAATTTTTGTGGAATTAATTTATTGAACTCAGCTTTTTTTTTCCTAAATATCTTAGGAACGTTTTTCTAAATAATGGGAATTAGAATATAAGATTACACATAAGTTAGTAATCAATACATAGTAAATAATCATCAAAGTGTAGTCATTTATGGTTGTGATATAGATGTCGTTTATGGATGTAAGAGTAGTTAGAATAAAACAGCTATTGTCTGCATTGTCAAGTTAGGAGATAGTAAAAAGAATATGGGAAAAGTTGAAATTTGTGTTGAGAGTGTGGAGGTGTCTACATATAAACTCTAATTAGCATGCATGGAAAATTTGTGGCCACTCTGTAGAAGGATAACATGTACGTTGAGCCCGTTTTCTTAATACTCTTTTTTGGTATATAATTATAATTTCTAAATACTCTTCAGAAGTTGTCTGTTTACTTAACATTGTAAACTTGTTTGTATTTTTAGTATATATTCAGCATCAATTTTACTCAATTATTTGTGTAAAAATAACCTTTTTTAAAGAAAGCCTTACATTTTCCTTATGTGGTTATATAGTATAGCATATATGATTTTTTTGAACTCATATTTCCTTTTCTCTGGGTTGCTATACCTATTTTAATGAGAGATGTTAACTTTTGTCTATTTTTGTTTTTTGATTGAAAGCTTATGATTTCTTTAAAAATTCCCATAAAAAGTTCATGTGTTAATTATTCAAGCAAATGTGTGTTTTTTTAAATTTCTATAAAATAAGTCCTTGTGTGACTCTCTTAGCATTCATGGGTAACTGAAGTGTCGATTAACCTATACGTTTTATGGAAATACCAAGTAATTATGTATGAATATTTGTAAGTGGATGAGCTCTGTGATTAAGTTTTCTAAATATGGCTTATTAATATGCAAATAATTTGTTATATATTGGAAGTTTGCTGGATTTATTTGAAGGAAAATTCAAATGGAATTACTGCTCTGATTAAGATTTTTTAAATTCAGAGTTACTTTTATTTCTTTTTACAGACCGACAGAAATGTGACTGTCATCTTTCTCAGTGAAATTGTCTGGGAAAAGTTCCGTCCAAATACTGGGTGCTTTGAGCCATTTGTCTTGTATTTTCCTGATTATAGCATAGGTAAATTTTAAAACATTGTTTTGAGAAATGATATTCATACAGTTGTTTTTGGTGTTTGAATAATTAGTATGTTCAAACGGGAATACTTAAGTGTCTTACTCTGTTCAGGTTTGCTTTCAGTCTAAAAATGTTGCAAATGTGTCTGTGCTTTCAGAGGTTTGATTTTTGAACTATGAGGATTATTCTCATATAATTACTAAAATTTTTTGAAAGAGCAGTCTGACATATGTGCTCATGGTATATTTTCACATTTTTTGGTTGGTACATTAAGATGTATATATTGAGATTATAACATTCACACAGGTAAGAATCAAGACTAGGTTGACAGAGCACATTTAAATTGTATGGAAATCTTTATTTACCATGTGGTTGGGTTAAGTACAAAGAGGAAAGTATTTTTTGATTTTGTAAATCTTATTTTTCATTACTGCACTTCTTGTAGTACCAGCTGCTAACCCTTGTATTTATTTCTTTTTGGTTTGTATTTAATCTTAAATTTCATAAATCTTGATTATTTTTATCTTTGGAAGAACACAGTAGCTTTTATGTTGCTGAATAGCTTTGTAGATTAATACTGTATTGTCACTGTACAAGTGTGAAACTTCTGATGCAAAATTTATAACTGTGAATCATAAGGTGGTTAGCAGGCTATAAAAAAATAGCATTCCTTGACCTTGGCCTCATTAACACTATTCTTATGAACTAATCAGCTATAACATTTATTGTTAAGATCAACACATTTTTGTCTGTTTCACAAGAACAGCAATCAAGTACACTATCTGCTTTTGCTAATTAACCGAGATCAGAAAAAGTAACCAATATAGGTGAAGGGAACCCTTCTTTTCAGTAGCATCTCTTCCATGGATATGACAAAATAAGGAGAAAAGGGTAGAAAGAAAAGGAATAATTCAAAGTATTTCATTAAAAAAATTCCTTTGTACCTATGTCATTACTGTTTGATGTTTTTCCCATTAACTTTGTACCTATGTCATCACTATTTGAAATGTTTCTCATGACCTATTTTAGGCTTAAATGCTGAAAAATTAATAATTTAAGAAAATTAATAGAAAATGCTGATTTTCTACATCTTAGTGAAGTTGGATTAAAGTATGGTATAACAAATTATAGAATTTGATTAAATTTTAAAAGTAAAGATACAAAGCAGCATAGATGGAGAGAATTTGAAGTCATAAATAATTAAAGTGACCTTGACAATTTTAGAGAGTGTAGGCTAGTAGATTTTTAAAAAGTATCTAATAATGGAACCAAGTTTAATCTGATTATTAAATTTTAGGGCCTTTTACATATCAGACTTCTTTTTTCTTTAAAGCAAAACACTATAATCACATAAAAGGCATTCAAAAAAGAAACAATTGATAAGCCAAATTATAGTCAGAGTAAGTAAGCATGGAACCAGAGTGAAGGGGTAATATTAGTGGCTGTCATCCAATCATAAGTTGATATGCATGTCATTATAATGTTTTGGTTTAGTTATTGAATTAGTCAGGATAAGTTATGCTCTAATAAATAGTCTGAAAGTCTCACTGACTTAGAGTTTCCTACCTCACAACCTTTGCGTTACTGTTGGCCGACAATTTGCCTTATACAGTTATTATAAACTTCATAATACATTATTATTGTTTGGGCTTAAAAGAAAAAGACAAGAAAGAAAGTCTTTTTTATTGTTTATTCTGCTTGAGATTTGTTGAGCTTGGAGGACTGAGTGTGTGTTAGACCACTTGATATTGCCCCAGTGAATTTCTGTCACTTATTTAAATCTTAAATATTTAATTTTTTTCTGTGTTTTATTTGGGATAATTTTTATTTCTCTGTCTTAAAAGTTCACTGACCTTTTTCTACAAGAGCCTAATCTGCAGTTAATCTCATCCAGTGGAACTTTTCATTGCAAATCTCATGCTCTTGTTTTCTTTGTCTCCGTGAGTATATGAGCATATTTATAATAGTTGTTTTAATGGCCTTGTCTACTAATTCTGTTCCCTATTTCATTTTGGGTTTGTTTCTGGACATTTTTTCTCTACTATGGGTATTCATTATGCTTCTTCTTGTGTTTAGTAATTTTTGTCAAATGATAGTATTTTTTTGTTGTTATATGTTGGACTTTTTTTGCTAAGCATGTAAGGCACTTGACGGTATAGCTCACCCCTTTAAGGCTATTTTTAAGCTTTCCTAGAGAGAGGATTTAGAGTAGCCAGGGCTAATTTTAGTTTCACCTCTAAGGTATAACCCTTCTTGGATCTCTGCTGAATACCCCATGTATTCAGCATAGTTTCTCCATGACAACTGGTGGCAGAATGAACAATTCAAAGCCCTAGTAATTGTTTGACTTACAGCTCTCTGCTAATTATTTTTCCCCAGAAGCTGTTCTTGTATGGCCTGTGACATTTTATTCTGTTCATATACAGATAGGTATTCAGACAAGATTCAAGGGGAACCCCTGTGCAGATTTCTGGAGTCTTTCTTTGCATAGCTCCCTTCGCTCATGTATGCTGCCCTGCAAGTTCTGGTTGACTTAGCTCCCTCTACTCTGATCTCAGTTTCCTCAATTTATTGAGATTACTGGGCTCTTTTTGCAACTCTGCTGTTCTACAGTTCTAAAACTACCACTAGTTAGAAAACCTGGCTGGTGGTAGGACTTACCTCATTTATTACCCCTTTTTGAGGTATCACAGTCTTTTGTTGCCTATTGTTTGGTGTCTGAAAATAATTTTCTAATATATTGTCCATTTCTTAGTTTATTACAGGAGAGCATTTTTGGAATCTCTTGCTCCTTCCTCATGACTAGAAGCAGAAGTCCGTCTCCAAGTTAGAAATGGTTGTTCTTTCTATGTTAGACCATACTTGGATAGCAAAATTTTAAGACAACAGGAGATCAACCAAGTGGTTGCTCCTTCCTTTCATTTACTACTCTGTTGGTGCAGTGTCTTCAGCTTTCTGTTAGCAACGGGATATTTCGTAAATTTAAATAGTCCTAGACTATTGGAGTGGCTTTCTTAATGTGGAGTTATACCCTGAGATTTTGTCGGTAGTCTGTAACTAAGCAGCTGGTTTATTTTATAGCAACATAATGAATGTCCTAATTCTTCTAAGACTTTCACCGGAACCGAAATGGGCCAGTGGTAACACCTGATCAACTTTCAGATCAGTTGAAGGCACTGAGGGTCACCTGGAAGGGATATCTAGAGAGAGAGATTCAGGAGGAGCTTAGAAGTACAGCCAGAACTGGAGACTTAACTGTCTTCCGTATTTCGTCATCTGTGCATTTATAGATGAACTTTTTTTGCCTGTGTTATGTACATCTGTCTGAGCATCCATTCCTTTCCTATTTTCCTTCCTCATTCCTTTCTCCCATCTATCTAGTTATTTGATAGCTTTTATATACACATATCTTTATCTCCAAGTTTTAAGCCATCTTTTAGAAGTTTTCAGTTTATCTAATACTTAGGCATAGTTTTAAAAAGCTTAGTAACATTAAATTTAGATATGTTATTAGAATGTAAAAATAAATAGACTCAAGTCAAGTTTTGGACTTCGTGTATTTTTTTCACTGGTTGTGATATAAAAATGCAGATAGTCTCCCATCTGGAATTCCTTCAGGATAATATTCTAAGCATGAAACTGGGCTTTGAAATTTAAAAAAATTTTTTTGTTTGTTTTTGTTCAACTGCCATGTTTAAAAGATCTCTTTAAGGTAGCTATTTCTAAATTTCTGTTCATGAATATTCATGATAGGTCATATATCTTGTGTGATCTTGCACCTTCATCTAACTGGTTGTGAGGAAGAAGAGAGTAGTTAAAGTCAGGGATGGTGGTAAATGGCATCGTATCCATGGTAAAAATGCTAACTTAGTGAGGTCCTTAAACAAAAGGAAATTGACATGATCAGAACATCTTATAAGAGTTTTTACTTGAAAGTATTATAAAAGTCCTGAACCTTGTTGAACTAGGTTTAAATTACTAGTCATATTCAAAGAGCTCTTAACTGAGGAGCCTAAAGAGACCATTGCATCAAGAAGTCAGAGGGAATTGCAATAAGAAGTGAATGACTAATTGATTCATGTACTGTAACTGGGAGATTTTGAATAATAAGTAGTTGTTTCTCTTTAATTTTAACTGCCTCTATGGTATATTTCTAGCAGGGTGAAATACAAGTTTAGTACTCTGAATGTATGGTACTGTATAAAGGATTTAAGATAAAAGAAGAGAAATCCTAGGAAGAAAATGTGTTTTATAAAAGGGTAATGACAAAGTAAAGGTTTTCATTTTTAAAAATTCATGAACTCTTTTCATTTTACAAAAAATGAGCATTTTCCAGTTTGGTGGTAGTTTACATAATACCCCTTTGTTTTTTTCTCATTGATTTTAAGAGGCAGAAAGATAAACTAGAATATGTATTATTTTTCACCCTTTTTGTTGATTTTGCCCTTAGTTTCTTGAAATTTTATTTAAATGTCATTTAATATTGTCTTAAGCAACATTTAGTAACTTTGAGAACATTAGATGCATAATTCTTACACCTCAGGTTAAAAATTTGCATTACTTTTCTATTCTAATTTCATAATAGTTATATTCCTTAATAATTGCTAGGCCTGTTTGTTTACTGTTTTAAATGTTTGTTATAAAATGCTATGCCATGTTAATCATTGTAAGTTCATTTGTGTCTTGTGAACAGGGAACCTTCAAAAGATCCTGTCGCATGATCATCCTCCAGAGTATACTGCCGATTTCTATGCTGCCTACATTAATATTCTCCTGGGAGTTTTCTACACCGTCTGCCGGGATTTGAATGAGCTCAGACATCTGGTGAGTAAGCATTCTGCTTTAAAAAAATGTACATCTCATAATATTTTTCCATGTTGAAATGGTATGAGATAGGTAGAAGCTGAAAATTTATTCTGGAAACTTGGATATGGCTTTTAGAGGCTAGTATACAATAAGAAGGTAGAGCCTGTGGGTAAGTATAAATTTGATCAGAAAACTTTTATTCATTTTAGTTACTTCTTTTTACTCTTCCTTAGGAGTGATTTTGCTGTTTTCTCTAATTGAAGAAAATGTAGAACACCATTAAAATCAAAATAAAGAGTAATAGAAAAGAGGTGTAAGAACTTTTTTGCATCTCTGTTAATTTTCTTCTAACATTTTTTTTTCAGGTTTTATATATGTAGTAATAGTGTTCTGGCATTAGATGAACTTGATGAACTTGAATATTGTCAGAAGTTCTAATTACAGGTTTTTTCCTAGCCACTGACCTTGAGTTAGTAATCTTTATCTAAAGCATCACTTCTAATATGTATGTAAAAGATCACTTAAAAATTTCTTTTATAACAATAGAAGAGCTTTTTTATATTTCACAGGTAGTTTGGAAAATGATCATATTTACTTTAATTTTTCTTTGATCTTTCTACTTTAATTGTGGGGATGTGAGAGGAGAAGGCAAAAATTTCTGGTTTCTCTTTTAGAAGACCTCAGTTAATACTTAAGATCTTATCTCAATGTAACAGAAAAAAGTAATATATTAAAGGCTGCAAAGCAGTTACTTTCAAAGGAAGAGATTCTAGCACATTTTCTTTGCTTTGAAAGTGTTACTTAGAGGGATTCACTGTGTGTTTGAATGTCATTTAAAATTGTGTTCCATTTAGTATGTTTTTAGAGGCTTTAGATTTTAGGCCTCTTCTGATTTCAATATGGATATCAAGTATCTTCTGAGTAGGAGAAAGAACCCAGAGGACAAGCTGTTCTAGTTCAAGTTCATCTCTAACATCTCTCCAGAAGTCAGCTGTCTTGGATTCCTGGCACCAAAGAGAAATGACAATAGACGGGGCTTACAGAGCAAGGAGAGAGAGAGGGGTGGTCAGTGACCGTCCCTGGGTGAAATAGAGTTGGGAACAAATACTCATCTTTGTTTGTCGGGAACAAACTAAACTCTCTTTCCTAGGAAATGACCTGCAGTTACCACTCCTTAGCGCTGATGTCCTTGAATCTTGTGAGAATCTTTGCTGACAGCCATTTCAAAGTAGATTAATAAAGTACAAGAAGGAAGAACTATTTAGGGAAACTATTTCTAGGAAAGAAATGTAAAAGGAGAAATAATATATTTAAATATGGTATTTTATAAAGTCCTTTGAGTTTAAATGAGAAATAGTTTTATTTAGGGATGGGGTTGCAGGGTTTTTTTTTATTATTACATCATGTTCATAAACTTGAAGCTTGACGTATGGTTTAAGCGTTTACTGCTACCAGTAATACTAATCAGTACAAGAAATGATCTTTAAGCACTGGAGAAGAAAGCAGCATGTTGTTATTTTTCTCCATATGTAGAACACAGGATAATAAAGATAATTTCCCTTTTTTCTTCAAATGGATGCTGTTATATGTTTCAAAGTTCAAAAGTTGCATATTTCTTGAAAGTTTAATAAATCACCTGCAGAAGATTCATTCAGGCATGTTTCTTTGTATGTGCACACATCAAATTTATTCCATTTCAAACCCTTTCCCTCTCGATATCATAATTGTCTTAGAAATTACTCAGGTAAATGAATTGCTTAGCCAGAGCTTATTAATCTTTTAGAGTGCAATTCTAAGCTTCTGATGCCTGTTTCTGTTGTTTTGTTTTATTTGGCTTTGTGGCTAGTGACATAATGACTAAGAAAAGGTTGTCAAATAATTGAAGTACATATGGTAGAATGAGCAAAGGGCTTAATATTAAAAGACCTTAGCTCTGTTACTTACCATGTGTGTCATGTGGAGTATACTTAATTTTCTGTACTTCAGTTTCCTCATTTCTATAGGGAGACCAAGATTTCTAAGAATACATAACTCAGATTATTTTTATGAGTATAAAATGAAATACTGTATTAAAGGCTCATAAATAATAAGTATCTAAAAGATAACATTTTCATTTGAATAAATATCTTCCCTTTAAAATACAGATAATTCCTAGGAGTATCATTTACTTTTTCTGAATTATTTTACTTAAATAATACTGCTGTTTTTCCTTTGGCCAGGACCCAGCAATTCCTAGGGAATAGAAATTTTGCTCCTATTTCTGAGAATGGGGCTATGTATATTTGAAGAGAGGGAGGAGTAGGTACTGGGCAGCAGGATAGTGAAGGGGGCGGCACAGAGATGCTGCTAAAGTACAGGTAGTCTGCTGTCCCCCACATAACTCAGCTGTCTCGCATGCCTAAGGTAATTTTTATTTCAAAGGGTCATGATGTTCTCAAATCTCAATTCTGTGATGTTTTTTTTTTTTTGAGAGGGTATCTCTCATATTTATTGATCAAATGGTTGTTAACAACAATAAAATTCTGTATCTGTGATGTATTTTTTAAACAATTTTTGTTTTGATGAGGAAGAGATTATCAGAATTCTGAAACGTTTGCAGATCTATTTTTTAGCTGTCAGTGGACTCACGAAAACAGTATACACTAATGTGTTTGTACACGTTAGTTATTTTTCCTTATTTCAAAATGATTGTATGCTAGGGAAAAATGGTCCTTGAGAACTTAAATTATTAGATTATAAAATTTTGTGAATAAAGAATCTTGAGGTCTGGTTCCAGAGCATATGCTCATAAGCACTGTACTACACTGCCTCTTAAATAATAGCTGACTTCATTGACTACTTAGTGTATGCTGGGCCCTGTTCTAAACCTTTCATCAGTATTAACCCAATTCTTTTTTTTTTTAATTTCATTTAAATTTTAATTTTTTTAGTAAGTATTATTGATACACACTCTTATGAATGTTTCATATGAAAAACAATGTGGTTACTACATTCACCCATATTATCAAGTCCCCACCCACACCCCAATGCAGTCACTGTCATTCAGTGTAGTAAGATGCCACAGATTCTCTATTTGCCTTCTCTGTGCTATACTGTCTTCCCCATGACCCCCCACACCATTTATACTAAACATAATACCACTCAATCCCCTTCTCCCTCCCTCGCTCCCC